AAAAGGAAACCAGCACAAAGACAAAATGTACAAATTACAAACAAATGGAGCCAGGGACAGGAATCGGACAGTGCTGCAGGCATTAGGCTGCAGTGCTATCCATTAAGCCACCGTTTACCTTGATTATTTCTACAGCTTTTCACTGACCCAGAATCTGTAGCTACACTGGGCGTGCACAACCTGTGGATACTTACTAGAGGAGGAATTCTCTTAATAGGTCTTCGAGACAAAAACGGGCCAGCAGAACAGCTTCACAAGTGAAGAATCTGTACCTTACTAAATATATTGCATGTTTCCGGATGTGACACCGATCTTTTCCAGGAGATTCTCTGATCTGGTTTCCTTGATTGGCACTCGGCTGCGGCGAGAGCTGGCGATTGGGGCAGCTGTGCCGCTTGGTTTGCATTGTTTGTACGCCTTGTTTCTGTCTGGCTAAGTGCCCCCTCATACCCTGGGCGAATGGTCACTGGCATCATTTAGGATTCCACCCCTATCAGGATAGAAGTTGTTACTGTAACTGTTATCATTTATACTTCAGTGTATGTCGTGTGTGTACCTAAAGCTAGCTAGGAAACTGCACCCTGCCCTTCAGCTGAGATCATGGGAGTTTCACTTGCACAAAAATGTTTTGAGCAGTAGCTATCGGACTGTTTTCAGTTTTAATTTTAAAGAATCTCCACATGGCCGACTTCTCGATAGTAGTTTCGCGCCATGTGCCTAAAGCTTACTGCAGCGTGCGATGGAACTTTACAATCGGAGTAATTGACGTAAATCAGGTGAACGCAAGAAATGAAATAGGTTGGGCTTCAGATGGGTCTGTGGTAGCTGATACCGATCAATTGAAAAACGGCTGGATGAGCCCCAATTAGGATGTTTGATATCAATTCAGGACATCTCAGAATACCATACCAGCTATCATTCTAGTCAGTGTGCAGCAGCATTGATCTGCACCCAGGAATGCTGCTAGACATTTCAAAGCATATTACATCGGGCTTCCAACCCAGATTAGTCCAATTTAGGGGGCCCTGAATCCATCCAACCACCCCCTTTCACAGCACTCTTTTCTACAGCAGTAGAAACAAGGAACAAGGCTACAGAATGTTATTTCTAGGATAAAAAAAATCTTTATTTGCTCTAGTTTATCAATGTCCAAATCCAGATAATGTAGCTTCTGCTTTTACGTAAGATTTAATCAAATAACTTGTGAAAGTCCAATAAATCGTATCATAGCCTTAAGATTAACTGTCATTGATGCATCAAAGAAATTCAACGTCACACTGATCTGCCTTTCCAGCCTTTCATGCTACTTGCGCCTTAACAAATTGTTCCTTATTAAGTAGTTTTACTTTGCAACACATTATAGTCTCCATAGCGTTATTTCAAGCGAGGCACCGTTTGTGTCTGGTAGGCAGGATTCGTTTTGTCCTCCTTTTTTACAAATTGGCATTACATTAGTTATTTCTAGCTTTCCAGAATATGTAATATATAAGGTAAAGAGCTGTGAATAACCGCTTTAATCTCCCCTAAAGCAGCTGTCAGGTCCCTGGGATTTGTGTTTGGAAATTATTTAAACTGCATACTGCAGTAGCGTCCACAATACTAACATTCGAAGAGAAACATAAAATAAGCTGCATGTAACCATTTATTTTGTGTTCTTCTGTAAGCATGTCAGCAAAAATGTTATTTAATTTAATTTGTATTTTTATGCAGAGCTTTAAAATGTGCCCGGTGTGATTATTACAAAGATTTACAGTATCACAGGGGAGAGTTCTTTTTTTGCAATAAAAGTTGCTCATTGATATCAGTGGACCTTAACTAGTCTCTCCCCTTCTTGGAAATTAGTTTTTTTTTTTTTTGGAAAAATGTTCAGGTATTGCGAGCTTAATGACACCGATATCTTAAAGGTACAGCACAAAGCATGCTGCATGTTCAGAATAGGCCCTCCGGCTGTTAAATGCAGCCCCCTAGCTGTGAACCTGCCTGAAGTCTGTTTGGTGACTTTGTCATAAATACTTCTGCTGTTATCCTCTGAGGCGTCGGGACAGGACAGGCAAGGCAGACAGTCATCGGGGCCCCAGCTCACACTGCACATCGCAATGACAAATCTCCTTTTTTTGTGTATTGTTTTTTCACAGTAAAGTGAAGATAAAGGAATTTAGTTTATTAAATTATGTTTGATGATATTACTCATTTAGACTTCACATTAAAATAATGGTCTGAAATTTCGTCATGTTGGAGGCCCCGTGGAGCCCTTTGGCCCCGTGGAGCCCTTTGGCCCCGTGGAGCCCTTTGGCCCCATGGAGCCCTTTGGCCCCGGTGTCCCTAGGATCGCCTTTGGTTCTGCCCCTCAGAAAATGTCAGTGTCTCGTTTTATTGTTTTTTTTTTATGCATTGCTTTTTAACGGCCTGTACTAAATAAGTAATGTGTATATTACATTATTACAAAAATGGCAAATCTCACTTTCTCTCTATCTCTCTCTACATAGAGAGAGAGAGAGAGAGAGGAATATGTACAGTAATACTGTGTTTTGGATATATTGCTGGTATAAGTGATATAAGTGGATATATTGCTGGTAAAGGTCAGTAGGTCAACAATTATAATGTGACCAAAACCAAAACAAAGAAAAACAAAACAGCTCCGATTTCTGGTCCTGGGGGTGTGACCTCTCCTCTTCAGTTGCTTGATGTGTTTGTAAACAATACCTGTTAAGGACAGGCCGTGGGAGCAGAACTGGATTGGTACCAGTGGCAACCTGACGATACCTGCTTGTGGAGTCTGAGGCGGACCTGCGTCACGGCGGAATGGATGGACGACGTCAGATGTGGCGGGAAGGACCCTTCAGGAGTGATGCATCACCAGCAACCTGCATGGCAGTGAAAGCGAAGTTCTCAGGAACAAAAACCATTCATGGTACAAGTGTGAAAGAAGACAAGAAAAATCGGATGGCTCGCTCAGTGCCGGTCGAAACCCTAGGCTGGGGGGGGCGGGGAACGGGGGGCACAGGTGGTGCAGCTTGCTGGGAGGATGCATGGCGTCGGCATCCCGGCAGAAGACGGCACTCTGGGCGGCCGTCCAGGTCGACCCGCACTGGACTTACCTCATGTTTTAAGAGCCATATTGGCAGCTTTCGTTAGGCGTGGTCTATTAAATGGAAGCATGACTTGTAAAAGATTTACATTTTCGTGTTAGAACAGAGAAATTTCTGTCTGTGATTTCTTCACATTAAGAATTTGTAATTAATTTTAATTGTTGATATGCTTATTAAGTAAAAAGGACGGACCAAATTATCAGCCATGTTACAGTGCAAATGAGCGACAAATTAACACTGTCACACCAGTGCTGAGGCCATGGTGGTCTTCAGAAAGGTGAATTTGCACAATACTAGACTGTTTTCAGACTCTTTTGAATACAAAACACATTGCTGAGGAACGTATATTCCATTGCAGTGTGATAATAATATACAGCATCATCAGCTCAGCTACATTTATCGGCTTCAGTTTTCACTTGCATTAAATTTAAATGCGTTTTGTGACTTGTGCTCTGTGGTGTGATCAGTATTCAGATAAATACAGCATTTCTTTCACAGTTTTCTTTCTTCCAGAATTATACATCATCTGCGCTGTAGCCTGTTCCCTTCTACCTTTAATAACTTCTTATTAAAAAAAAATGGGTTTAGTTCTCTGGCTACACTGTTTTTTCCAGTGTGTGTGTATATATATATATATATTTATATGTGACATTTTGTTTTTGTATATTAGTTACATCACCCCACTGGGCTATCTGAGAATTTGCAGCTCTTTTCTCATTTCTGACTCCTTTGTGTGTGGCTTGGGATTTGGTCATTACATTCAAAAATGCACATTAGGCTGTGGCAAGGGGGTCACTTGGGCTGTTTGAAGGGGATTTTAGATCCTCAAAATGTTCTTTACCCGCTCCTAAATAATTGTACAGTAATTAGTTGAAATAGTGTGTTCTCATTCATTTTCATTAAAATCAGACCCCCTAATGACGGCTAACCCCCTGTCCATACGTCTCTGGTGCCACCCCTGCGCTGTGATGATGTATTATTAGACGTTCAGGCGAGTGGATGTCTCTGTACGCCCCGAGTGCTCTCTTCCCAAATCGTGACATGCACACAGGCTTTCTGGAAGCTGTGACAGTGAGTGACGCCAGGTCTTCCATGCCAATGTTACGGCAGACCTCAGCAGGCGGCTCCTCCGGTCCCCTGACAGCTGACAACACATACGGATGAGGAGTCACTCACTGTCTCCATCCCAAAAGTCCGTCATTCTGCAACTCTTACACTGCCTTTAAGCACATTACATCTTCTGTCTTGTACCTAAAAGATAATCCCCTTTAATCCCAACCAGAGATTAACACAAACTGGAAACAGAGATTCCCTTCAGCAAATGATCTTAATTATGACAGTGTTGTCTTAAGCCTTGTCAGCATAAAAATAAACTTTTAAAGATATGCAGCCATGCCAGTAGGAATTTTTGCACTCTAGTCAATTTTAACTTTATGTTTCTCAAGAGACACAGTCTCATTTATTATAACCTCATCCAGTTTGCCACGTCGTCATTAACTCATGGACTCGATTGAAATATACCAATTGACTGAAGAGTCCTTATGTTGTCCCCTATATTAAATTACGCAAAATATGGCTATTTTTGCCGCCTTTGTGGTAAGAATTGCATCTATACTGTACACTTTGTTTTGATTATCTAGGGGAGCTGTATGGTCAGGTGATGCCTGACCAATCAGAATATAAATGGGTTAAGCATACCCTGCAGTGAACTGGTTCCCCTCCCCCCGTGTATTCTGGGATAGGCTCCAGCCAGCATAACCCTATGTTGCACGTCCTTATGAAACATTGACTGGCGGAAGGTAAATTTATTCCTCCTGCCAGTATCCTTGGTGCAGTTCAAGGCAAGATGGAGGAGTTCCATATTTTAACATGTTTTTGTTAATGCATTTATTTGTTTATTTTATGTTTTAGCTATCCACGAGTTTCCGGAAGACCTGTTCACCAACCGGGAGCGCAAGCAGGGAGGCGTTTTGCTGCACATTACCGCGGTATGAGATCTTTGACCCGTTTGACTACCTTGATTCTCATTCTGTCGCATTGATCCTCCAGCAGCATGCGCCTTCCACATTGTCTGAACTGTGCCGCATCATCCTAGAGATCGCATGTCCTGCACCACATGTTTGATTGCTCTCTAAGAGTTATGCATGTTAATCTGTAATTTTCCCTGATTTTAACACTGTTTTAGGGAACCTAAATAATACAGAGGGGTTGTAACCCCCCCCCCCAATAATCAAAACCGGCTAATACATTCCCCTTCAATAGTCATGTCTCCCCCTAAATGGGCGGAGACCTCAACCCCTCCAATGTTCAAACCAAAGTTACGCCCTTTGATCATCACCATGACGATGGGTTTGAAGCTGGTGTCTGAGATAATCTCTCAATTTGCGGCCCGGAAAATCTGTTCATCGACCAGAGGAAGGACTTTCAGGAGGTGTCACTTCCTGCAAGTGAGAAGGACACACTCCACCCTGCCCAACCCCGAGCAACAGGGAACTAAACACTGGCGATGTGGCCGGCGGTGCAGATGGGGGGGGGGGGGGCACAGTTATCCTCCATCTGCCCTTGGTCCTATGGACATGCTGCTTCACCATGCAGGAATTGACATGGATCGACTCAGACAAGCTCCATCTTGTGTGAACGGGAGCAGATCCAGTGTCTGAAGGTGGTCCACTGGTTTGCTCATCAGAACCAGGGAAAGCGGCAGGCAGGAGAGTGCCTACGGTAGACGGTGTCAGGGTGCACCCAGGCAGGCAGGACCCCTAGAGGAAGAGATGTGTTCTTTGAGGTGCTGCACTGCCTATTGGACATTGAGGTCCCTGGATCCTTTGACCCTGTACTAGCACAGGGGCCCCTGTAGAGGGCGTGACACCTCATGTTGCTTTAGCCACTCCAGTCGCCAGTCGCCAGAACCCAGTGCCCCTCCCTGGCCTACATGAAGCTCACACCACCTCAAAGCCAGGCTCAACAGACAGCATGCTGCCTCTTGTTTTTAATGTCAATAGTTTGGTTAGAATTACAGTAGGTAGGGCGGGGTTCATTGCCTTTAGATAGTGGGGTTAGGCTTGTTGGGAAATGTGCTGTCTTCATAAAGATTGTGCAGCCAAGTTCAATTAAAGAGCAAAATTTACATTTTTGACTTCCCGCTTCCAATGCCACAAGAAATATTTAATTTTACATCTGATTCTCAAAGGGATCGTGGCATTTTTTTCTAGTCTTTCATTAAAACTGTGAGATTTATTTTTGGGTGCTTTACCAAATTATCGTTATGGAGTTGACAGCTTCTTAGGGACTCTAGGGAAATTTCATCATGCAAACGACTAAATGAAAGGCAGTTATCTAAAGAAATAAAGCAATTCAATTTGACAATTATCCAATTCAAAAACCAATAGCTAAATTGTTCCCATATTGCATTTCTTTTTTTTCTTCGGTAAAATGTTAAAATTACTTTTAATTCAATTTGACAGTGCTTCCTTTGCAAAAAAGAAAAAAACAGCTACACTGTGGAAACGATTAAGTGCTATGAATGAATACCAGGTGAATAATGTTACAGTACTTAAGTTGAATCCGGTACAGCAGCATGATAGCTATAATTTTAAATGACCATTTTTTTAGTCCTGCTGTGAGGTTAGTAAACTTACACTTTCTTTAATCGTTTCAGGCACTTTACATGTTCCTGGCCCTGGCCATCGTTTGTGATGACTTCTTTGTGACGTCACTTGAGAAGATCTGTGAGGTGGGAACTTCACAGAGGATCCATGTTGAGTTGGACCGGATTGCTGAGTCACATGCCCACTCTGTGGTCTCATTCCCTCTCTTTACTCTCCTACCCGCAGAAACTTCACATGAGTGAGGACGTTGCTGGGGCCACGTTTATGGCAGCGGGAAGTTCAGCTCCAGAACTTTTTGCCTCTATCATAGGTGGGAAGAAAGACTGTTTTTTTGTCGGCCATATATACAGTTGTTCCGCGAATTAATTAAAAAAAGCATCCAACAGACAAATAAGTGCAGTACTTTCCCAGATGGCTAGGGCACTCACCTTGAGTCGGGAAGCTTAATATCTTTCTCACACATGCACAGCAGGCAGTCCCGCTGTAGATCTCTGACTGTGATCATCAACACCTTCTGCCGTCCATCAGGTGTCTTTATTACCCATGGAGACGTAGGAGTTGGCACGATCGTTGGCTCTGCCGTCTTCAACATCCTCTGCATTATTGGCGTGTGTGGGATCTTTGCTGGCCAGGTCTGTGGCTCTCCTGTAGTACAGCTCCTCTTGCCTCCTGTACGCCAACCTGTTTGATGTATGATGTAGTTACAGCTCTGGAAAAAAAATTAAGAGACCACAGCAAAATGTTCAGTTTTCCTCATTTCTCAATTTATTGGTTCACACCTGCGTAAAATATAAAAAATTTTTGTTGCAAACTCCAGCCTGGTTTCTCACTGATGAGAAGGCTTCTTCCTTGCTTTATGGGTCTTCAGTTCTGCTTCCAGGAGCCTGTTATGAATTGTTCTAGCAGTGCACTTCACACCCCTTAAAGTTTCCCAATCTTTTTGAAGGTCATTTGAGGTCATCCTCCAGTTTATAAACACTGCTGGATAAGTTGATGGTGACCTCTGACATTAGAAAGTTGCTTCTGCCCTCTACCTGGCTTGTCTTAGACACTTTGAGCCTGGAAGCAGCCTGCCTCACAGGATGTAAAAATGCAGATATTTTAAAAAAGCAGTCCAGAGCTGTACGTATACAACATTAAGCATGAGAGTCTCTGTTACTCTCCCATGCCCCAGGTGGTGTACCTCACCCGCTACGCAGTGTTCCGTGACTCTCTCTACTACACCCTGTCCGTGGTGGCTCTGATCGTGGTGAGTCACGCTTCTCAGGTCGTGCAAAGACTTCTGCAGTGTCACCTCTCAAACCTTTGCCCCTGTAGTTCCAAAACTGCATGCGCAGGTGCATGATCTCTTCGCACTTACATTTGCACTCCTTCTCCAATAACGCACTCGTCAAAGCACACGGCTGAATCATTAACGTCGCGAGAAGAATGACAGTGTTCCCTCCTCCCCTCTTGCAGTTCATCTACGATGAGAAGATCGTGTGGTAAGCATCTCTCTACTTTAAGACCAGCACGTCTTTGGCCTGCTGCGTATGTGGAGAGTTCACTGGCTGCCCTTCTGCCTTAGGTGGGAGGGTCTGGTGCTGGTGCTGATGTACCTGGGATACATTGTGATCATGAAGTGAGTCATCCAGCTGGGGAACCTGGTTCTGTCCTCACATTCTGAGAGTCATGTGACATCGGAGGAAAGCTTCAATGCTGTAGTATATAATGGGATTGCAATGGGACACAATGGCATTAGTGGTAAATATGATGGGCGCAGCCCAGGAGAAGAAGCTGGGACTGTGTGATTCTTCATCCTGGCATGTCTGTATATGCACTACAGTTACAGTCTGTTTATAATTAATCTGCGTGTCATTAATTTACCCAGAATTCTCCTCACTCGGCCGCTTTATCCCCTGCTTCCATAAGTGGTTTTCTTTGTAATTGATGGCTCAAAATTTACCTCATTAATACTGTGAAAAAGTTTTTCCACCTCAAAGTGCAGAAATGCAAGGAAATTACCATTTAGACATAATAAGATGATTTAAAGACATCACTAAATGATTTATAGAATTGTAGAAATATTTCATATATCTTAAAAGGTCCTTTTGAATAATAGAAATAGATATTAATTTTGAGATATCTTGAATTTCTTGTATGAGATATTAAAACATCTCCCTAAAGTCTTAAGCTTTATATATGAATATTCATTATGATCTCTATGGCCGGGGTGCCTCTCATTGGCTTAGTGGTCTGTGTGGAAGGTTGTGGGTTCAAATCCCGTGATTGGCAGAGTATTCGTAACACAGTTAGGCCCTTGAGCAAAATCCTTAACCCCAACAGGTGCTGGATACTAGCTGATCTGGTGTGATATTTTCTTTCACCTACATATACATCTGAATGCAGCTCTTACGGAGAGTAAGATGAATAAAGTACAATTAAATTTAAATTTATCAGCAGTAATTTGTAGGTGATTTAAAGCAGTGGTTCGCAGCCAGTGAGTTGTATCCCTAACCATTTAATTGGATTGTGGATTGTGTGGAATTTTTTTTGTAATGTCAGATCATTTTTAAACTATATAACAAATATTCAGAGCTGAACTTGTCAGGACTGCTGAAGGCACGACGGGAAGTATACGGAGTAAACTCAGGTTTATTAGAGGGAGAACACAATCGGGGGCACAGAGAGACGCCAGCGACTACAAGACTTTAATGAGAAGACTGAGGAAAGACTAACTGGGAAGCACTAAAATACACAGATAAACCAGTTTGTTTAAAGTTTAAAGTTTGTTAACCTTGTGTGGAATCCTCATGTGATCAGCTGTTTCTGGTCTTGTCCAGTTGAGTGTAGTGCTTCCCAGTTAGTCTTTCCTCAGTCTTCTCATTAAAGTCTTGTAGTCGCTTTCATCTCTCTGTGCCCCCGATTGTGTTCTCCCTCTAATAAACCCGAGTTTACCCCGTATACTTCCCGTCGTGTCTTCAGCGGTCCTGACAAGTTCAGCTCTGAATATTTGTAATATAGTTTAAAAATGATTTGCAGAGTGATCTTGGAATCACTCGCTGGTATCTTTAAATGATTCCCAGCTACCTCAGACTCTTTTGCATGCCACGCACTCTCACGTACATGAAAGGCACCTAGAGGAGTCATTGTTATTGAAGTTGTTGTCATGTTGAGAATATTAGTAATATGAATCACAGGGAGAATCGCTTCTAATCAAACGGTTTCTCTTGCCCAGATTTAACTCGCGTATGCAGGAATACTTCACAGGGAAAGAGGATAAGCACATCGCCAACGGTAACACAGTCAGCAACGAGCTGGAGGATGGTAATGCATGTTATGACGATATATGGGATGACCCTACATTGCCATTGCTGTGTGCAGGTAAGGGTAACCAGACAGGCTCTGCTGCACTTTGGGTCTCTGGGGGCTTTACTTATACAAAGATATTCTGAGGGCAGAAGGCCCAATGATTGGTCCAGAGTGATAACCAATCAGATTGTTATAGGAGGTGAGTGAAAGCAACTGACTGGTTGGTCCCACCTCCTCTAGTTGCTTGGACCCACTTCCGCTACAATTTGATTGGTTATCTCTCTGAATCTCTCCTTCTGCCCTCAGAACATTTTTCTGTATGTAAGACTCCCATGGACAGTTTCTGTTGTGCCGGGTGGATGGGGGGAGGCCTGGTGACCAAAATTTGGTTGTATCACTATAATCAAGGGTCAATGCATTAATGTTCCTGCAAACTGCACCTTCACACGCTGTTCAGAAATGATACATATAGTAATATCTTATCTACAGCACTGAATAGCTAAAAATTGACAACGTTCTGTGTCTCTTCTGCTGTAATACACTGCTGTAGGAAGGTGGAGCACTTTCCAAACCAGCTCGCATTCCGCTGCTTTGAAACACTTTCAGTTCCGCCTTTGACTGTTTTTTCTCTTAATCTCTCTCTGCCTTATTGTTTTTGTCCAGTAATTTCACATATCCTGTTTACAGCAGATGCAAATATAGACTGCAGTAGTGTCAGCCAACTTCTAATTTCTCTAAGCTACCCTGCTTTAACAAATATTTGTGACTAATTGCTGAAGCCTGTCTGTTTAGCCTTACTAAGCTAAGTGTCGCTTATGTCTTTCAGTGTCTTGCTGTGTGTTTCCTTGCAGTGTCTTGTGTTACGCTTTTTCTGGTTCTTAGGTATGTGAACTTGCTGGCTGGATACATAGAAAAACAATGTCCTGAAATAATTGTTTTTTGACAATGGCTTTTTCAGGTAATATTTTTATTAATGACAACAACAATAAACGATAATAGTGATTTTCCGTTATATATAATGAAATCTCTTAAAGAATATATTCATGGAACTAATCTACCATTTGCCACTGACTGAAAGTAATAATTTATGAGTCAGATGTTCTTTTTAGTATGTTTCATGTTAAATCTCAATAAATAATATTGTTTTAAGGCCTCTGGTGGCCTTGTACTCTGCCCACTAGGGTGAATGGCCATTCTGCCAGAGAAATTATCTAACTGTACCTCGCCACGTAAATGTGCATTTATCAGTGTTTCGATTGGAGCAAATGTCAGTGCTGCTGAGTTTGCATGCCCCTGTGAATGTGCAGAGCTGTTTTTAGCGCCTCAGTGCTTCACCCTGACAAGCATCTATTCGCCTGCAGTGAAGCCCAGCAAAACTCACAGCCGAGGCTCTGTGGTGATGGTGGATGAGATCATGAACTCCAGTCCCCCAAACTACCGCTTCCCAGAAGCCGGCCTGCGTGTCATGATCACCAACCGCTTCGGACCCAAGACGCGCCTCCGCATGGCCAGCCGTCTCATCATCAACGAGGTGCACCAATGGATGGGGTGATGGGGTGGCTCAGGGTTCGAGATGACGGGGGGTATGAAGCTGAGGCTGAAAGTAGACAGGGGTAAAGGGGCAACAAAGATGACCAAGCCTGAGAAACAGGAATGTTACAGCTGGGAGACTAAGGCTCTTTGCTGGTTGCCGGTTCACATCCCATGAATGCCAGGAGTGATCCTGCTCCGTTGGGCGTTTGAGCGAGACCCAACATCCGGTGCTGTAAGCAGGTCCTCCAACTTTCAGGGAATATTTGAGGGTTGGTGGCACTCCTGCCACCAAAAAAAAACTTTGCATTGTTTTATTCCATCCAAACCGGGGTGGTGCTGATATCACCCTGCTGCTCTCAGGTTCTCATTCCTGAGGTGGTTCATCGTGTGGTGGTTGCGACAACGTGCTTTATCAGCGTTCACTCCTCACCTCCTCTTTGTTTGTTTGTTCATTCATTCACTGATTTATGTGTCTGTTTGTTGGTTTGTTGGTTTGTTTGTTGCATATGTATTGTTTTACTCCCCGTGTTGCACTGTTTTTTGTCTGTACAGTTATTGTCCTGTATAGCACTGTTTTTTGTCCTGTTTTTGTCAACCATGAACCTGTCCCCTCCCCTGCAACTACGGTACAAGAATTTCACTGTGCTCTTCGGAACACAGTTCACAATAAACACTTGAAACTTGAAATCTGAAGGCGTTGTTCAGCAAAAAAAATACTAAGCGATATTTCCTAAAATGAATCTTTAATGAATGTCCCCCTGGGATCAATAGTTTTTCTAATTCTGATTCTGATCTTTAACTATTAAAAAGTATAATGAAAAGGTGTGCACTTATTGTAATTAGTTTTGTTCTTTCAGAAAAACAAAATTTTTGGAAACATTATTGAATCGAATAGCATTAAATATGGGACCAAATCAGGCCACAATAAGTGGAACGCATTAGAAAAATAAACACCTTGGCAATACTCTAATTTCTAAATAGGGTTTGAGCAAATCCACTTGTGTATTATTATTTAGCTTTTTTATTTTTAATTAAAAAATTAAAGTTAAATCTATTGTATACCTTTAAGTCAACTGATTCATGATGAAGTGAAAGATTTAGTGGTAGGGGTCTCAAGTATAACTGTAATACATGAAGTACAATATACGAAGTTCTTGTTGGTTTTCTCACAGAAGATATATATATATGTATCTGCATCCACAATAAACTCCATCTGTCGGATGCCTTTGCCATTCTTATTGGCTGCCTTTTCAGCATGGACATTTGCACCCACATTGTAATGTTTCATATCACCCATTTGAAAACAGCAGGAAAGTTTGTCTTATTTGCAGCTAAAACCGTAATGCTAATAGGATTTCTGCTGGTATATGAGTATGTTGGCTCCTGTGGCAGAGGAAGAGTTCCCCATCAACGCCATTAGTTCAGGATCAGATCTTACATACCTATTGATCTCCGATCAATTCCAGGTGGAATCAGAGATAATTGGAGTAACCCGAGCCTTCGGCGTGTATCGAGTCTCACATTGTTTCCCTTCCTCCGTGCCGCTTCTGGGCGCCTGATTTCTGGGTAGCGACAGAGGATGGGCCAGGCTTCAAATGGCGTTGAAGCTGCTGTCGTGGATGGAAAACCTGAAATTGAGAATGGCACCGTGGTGGAGGACAAGCAGCCTGAGGAAGCTGAGAATGAGCTGTCCTCCCCCTTCATCTGGCCAGGTAGGTGTCCTTCTTGGGGATCAGATTAGCAAGCGGGTCTGAAGCTTAGCAAGGAAGGAGCATAATTAAATCTTCTTTGAGTCAGCGGCTTGAAACTCAGTGAAGTTACATCCCAGCTCCATTTCTAAAGCCCATTTTAGAATTTAATAAAACTCAATCGACAGAATACCATATATTGACGACTGGAGGCCACTAACACAATATGGTATATAAAACAAGCTGCTCAGAGTTTATATGAGAACAAAACTCAGTTTATTCTCTTTCAAAGAAACTCACAATTTAAATTGACTGAATTCATTAGAATGCCTTTAAAAATAGAAAATATATTTTTTAACATATCAAGTACTATACTAACCCAACAGCATTTATGCTAGTTCAAATATAACTCCAGTTTTTATTGTACTGATGGGAAAAAGCTGATGTTTGATTACTATCACTGATTTAGTGTTTTTTTTAAGGCTGCCAATCATTTAATATAATCATGATTAATTGCACATTTAATGTATTTTAAAACAATTATCAATGTCTGTTCTTTATTACAACTAGGTCACACAAAGTATAAAAATAAAGCTGCATAATACAGAGGCCTGACCATTCTAATAACATTGTAAATAAGATGGCTGTTTTTGACAGCCCATTTAATGATACATGCTATTCAGGCCTGGCGCCGTGGGGGGGTGTGAGGGGGTGTCGCCTGGTAAGATGGACTACCTCATCCCCTCAGTGATGATTAAGGCCTAATTTTAATTATCTTCTTTATTCATTTGTTTGTTTTTTTGTTTGAGATACTAAAACATAATGCAGGCCAGCATAATGCGCTAAAACCGAAGTCACGTTTCGATCCCACATTTTCAAATCCTCACAAACCCACTTGATCGATTGTCTGGGTGAGCGCGAGCTAGCTAACGTAGCGCAAGCTTGTTGGGATGCGTCGTGTGCGTGGTTGCTGCGAGTTGGCAACTTTCCCACAGTATTTCAACAAATTAGCTGTCCGCTTTATATCGGTAAACGCCGTTGGCTCTTTTGAACTCGAGCTCAGAGAGTCGCTATCATGTGATGGATACATATTTCCTGAGGTTAGTTGATCTGTTAGCTTGTTTGTGGGATAATGATGCACTTTATAAACAATCGTAACAGCACGCATAATTTTTCTAAGTCAGTGCCCCCTCTCTGCATTTTGATTGTTCCCCCCACCATTCATCTACATGTAACTTTTGTTTTTATTTATGCTGTGTGAAGGAGGTGCTATGAACAGGGTTAAGTGGCTCATCTCCTGGCCTGTGCTGGTGATTCTCTATTTCACTGTGCCGAACTGCGCCAAGCCTCGCTGGGAGAAGTTCTTCATGCTTTCCTTCATCCTATCGACACTCTGGATTGCTGTCTTTTCCTACTTCATGGTGTGGATGGTGAGTATTTCTGAGAGTACCTGTGTCTGTGCGTGTCGAGACGTGGATGTCTGGACACGCATCTGATGTGCGTTTGTTTTCTGGTACCGGATTGTGCCATTTCTCATGTATGGAGAAACAGGAGTGTAAAGGCATGGAAATGTGTGCATTCGCAGGTGACGATAATCGGTTACACTCTCGGAATTCCAGACGTCATCATGGGCATCACCTTCCTGGCTGCCGGCACCAGCGTTCCTGATTGCATCGCTAGCCTCATTGTTGCTCGACAAGGTGCCACTTCTGCTGTCATTTGCTTTATGAAGCTTTCTGCTCAGTGCACAATATATTTTTAGGGTTTGTTCAGCAACATAGATTACCAGTAAAACAGAACTGTATTCTTTATGGTAAGGGTTTTTATTTTTATGTTTGTGTCTATTTCCCCTTCTAACAGATGCTTTTGTCCAAAGCAGTTTGTAAGTGTTGTAACACAACACTGGTGATTAATGTAATTCTGTAGTACATCCCCAGCCAATCCATGTTTTTGCTCCTTTTGAACTCCCTCCCTCACAGTCCAAATTTTTGCTACCGGTAGCTAGGAGGGAGCAAAAACATGGACTGCTGGGGGTCCCTGTGGACCCGATTGGGAAATACTGCTGTGGTATTTCTGGTCTGCCAGCCGTGTCCTGTGCCATATATTCTACAGCAGGGGTCCCCGAGGGCCAAAATCAATCAGCAGCACAAAGCCAGGGTCTGCTGTGTTCAAAGTAGTTGAAATCTGATGATGGAGGGAATAAATCACGTGATCAGGAATAATTTGTAGTTTGGTCCAGACGTGGATTGGAGTCCGCCAGTTGGTAAACACTACACTAGATTGATTAAATGTTTATATGTGTGTAGTATAGTGAGCTGACTTGTACTGCAGGTAGTACCTATAATATAGTAATATAATATAGTATGGCTAGAGCTGTATTTTCTGTTTGCAGCTGAGCATGCCCAGATTTCGGTTGCATGGAGTTTGTGACCTTGTGGAACATTGCAGTAAAGTCTCTCTCTCTCTCTTCAGGCTTAGGGGACATGGCCGTGTCCAACACCATTGGCAGCAACGTATTCGACATCCTGGTGGGACTGGGTGTTCCGTGGGCGATTCAGACTATAGCTGTCAGTTACGGCTCTGAGGTAATGAGGCCTTTCTCACCGCCAGCACAGAGCGGACAAGCTTAAATGATCTGCCAGCTTTAGATGCACTCACCGGCAGCCATTCTGACTCGTGTGACTAGGCTAAGGTTCACAGTCGGGTAACCTTGTCAAAATGACAAATCGATTTGTTTCCCCGGTGTCTCATTTGGCTACGGTGTGCTTCCTCAGCAGATAGCTGCCCTGAAGCTGGCCAGTGAACGCCTGGACCGTCAGCTGTGTCATTTAACGGTTTTTCTCTTGTCACTGACGTAGGTGCAGATAAACAGCCGGGGGCTGGTGTATTCAGTAGTGCTGCTGCTTGGCTCCGTGGCCCTCACTGTAAGTGAAGACGCACTTCACTTAGAGATACACTTGGAGATGCACACATGGTTTTAAGTGCATGCAAACCACGCAACCGATGGGAATTGGAGGAGCATTTCAAAAGCAGTGAAGAACAATCACAAAAAATAACCTGCAAATAGTTTAATGCAAGCTGATAAACCTTTATTAATAAAAGCCTGAATTATATCTTTTGTATATATAAAATGCAATTTTTTATAGGTGAGGTCTGAAATCTACCCATCAGCTGTATTTTTAGACTGTATATTTAATGTTATGTCATCGGCAGCATTCGCCAAATCCCAGCATGCATCGTGAGCTGAGGGCTTTGGCAATTTAGAAACAAAAATGAACAGGCAGAAGGTTACATCAGAGCAAACAGACAAGTGGACATGACTATCTCCCCCCCGCCCCCAAAGTTTCACGTCGCCCAAGACAGTGTTTAAAGCTATTTATCTGGGTAGCAAGTATATATTTACGTAAAATGAAGTTAATTTAACATTCAAATATATTCAAATGAAGAATAGTGCAATAAAAGATAACATTAATTTCTTCTGTTCTCCAAAAAGTTACTGATATCTTATTGGATGGCTTGATGGACACTGCTTCAGTTCCCAAACCTCTCGTCAGGGGCACCTGAGCCATTTAATGTATTCCTTAAATTTCTCCTGCAGTTCACTTAATCAATTAACTTCATCATTTTGTTAAATAATTTGATGAGGTATTAACAAAACATGGCATGCTAGTTGTCAAGTGAACAAATACATACGTTATGGCGTATCGGTTGGTTACTGCAAATATCGGCATGACTCTAGGAGACATTTTTGAAATGGCTGAGCTGATATACTTTGACAAACTTAATGCCATATTTTTGTACTATCATACAGATCAGTCTGTGTGTTTATCATACAGATCAGTCCGCAGTGTGACAGCTCCTGTGTCCTGCACCTTCACTGTGTTCCCTGCTTGCAGGTTTTGGGAATCCATGTGAACAAGTGGAGGCTGGACCTAAAGCTGGGGATCTATGTGCTGGTGATGTACGCCATCTTCCTCTGCTTCTCCGTCATGATTGAGTACAACGTCTTCACATTTGTCAACTTGCCCATGTGCCAGGAATAACTGTCGGACATGTAGAAACTGTAATATAACCCCTACGATATTCTCGCTGTTTACTTCTCCTACAAAATACACAATCTTCGGATTGGGCCATCAAATTTTTCTTCGTTCGTTCCAAGACCTCAGCTTGATCTGAAGCAAACCTCAAAGAACTCTACACTAAGGAGACTCATGACCCAGGGCATCCTGCTGTTTTGATCCTCCTCCGTTCCTTTAATTTTCTCTATCACTCTTCATCAGAATGATTGTATTTCAATCTGACAGCTCAGTCAGACTTGCGTTAGGAATCGAAGGTTTTGAAATATTTTTCCCGCAAGTCATCATGTGCGCATAGATTCTTGTTTATTTTTAATTAGCCTTTTTGGAAATGGTAAAAGAAGTTAACCAAACGTCTAATAAACATGTTGCACTTTAGAAATAGGCTTGTTGAAAGATATAAAACCAGATTTTCTAAGAAACTGCCTGGGAAATGTTCCAGATTTTTTTCCCAACTTGGTGCAATAAGAGGACAGCAGAGGGATGTTGGGGTTCTTTCCCTCGGCATCGACCATGAGGAGAAGTGAGAAGTGCTCCAGGGTCATTCTCTATTCTCTCAAGCAGTATGAACCAAACTGAACTAGCAACGGTGCATGACAGAAAGATATCTTATCTCACGTGTCTTTGTGTGCGTGTCTAGGAGAGGGTGTGAGGTTCCTTTTTGTGTCTGTTTTGTGTGTGCGTATACACGCATATATATAATGTCAGTGTGCATGTGATATTCAAAGTTCTCTGCACTCAGCTGCACAGCAAACCCGATAGGTCAGAAATGGAGAACGGGCAGCCTCTTTCTTTCCAAAGGAAGATGGCGGGTTTTGTGCATTGATGTTCCGTAGTTCCATCCACGTTCTGTTACTGCATGGGGATCCGCTCGCCCTCTGCCCATCGAACTGAAACATCTCTGCTTCACCCTTGTCGCTGGCATTAGTTCGGTGCACCGGCATGTGCTCAGAAACGGCGCAGCTGGAGGGGAATCTCTGTGCATCCTGGGAATCATTGTAGAGAGTCCACCACGGACCGTTTGTCGTCCGGAGCCTCTTGGGGTGTCAGGTCATGAGAGGAACCTCCTCAGGCTTTTCACGGCCGGACGGCCCACACGGATCCCTTCCACCGCAACTGCACATCTCGTTCTGGTTTCCCTCATTCTCCCAGTCCCATGCTGGAAAGGGGTGTTTGGTGAACAGGGCAGAGCAAATGAGCCTAGAGGTTCTGGAAAAATGTATGAACTGCTCCTGGTGGTGGGGTGATTTTTTTTTTAGTCTTCGAGAGCACAGATGTCCCAGCCACAGTTGCGGTGGTCGTCAGAGAGGGAGAAAGCCGTGTCAGAAATGCCAGACAAAGACGAAACTGCTGCATGTTCCTGCATTGTAAACTGCATCTATATAACGAGGCTTGACATGTTGACATGCTGCAGTTGTCACGTTTGGAAACAGTGCTTCCTTCTGCCAGGTGGGGGCTACACAGGCCCAGGCAGATTCTTATTTCCCCGAAGGGGGGGCTCGCTGAGGACTCTTTGCTTTAGCCCTTGGTACCCCTTTCCATCCTGCGGGATTTGTGTCCCAGAAACTGGCAGCTACGCATTTCTGTGCAATTATGCAGGAGCCACTGCTAGATGCTGGGGGGTTGGGGGGGGGGCTGAGTCATTGTGTCGATGTCCGTGGTGAAAATGTGGGTGTCGGTGTCCGTGTTAATAAGCACCCGTCTCTTATGTCTGTGTCAAAAGGCAGGTGTTGCAGTGCTAGTATATGCAATTTCAATAAGTACAGCCCTGTTGTTGGTTTCCAGGGAAACGGCGGTATATGCATTATGAGTAATTACCCTTGGGTTCTAGAGGTGATGGAAGTATCTCATTCACTCCACCACACATGTGCACATGACTTCACACGCAGACGCACACATGCCACACACAACCCCCTCGATTCTGTTCACAGACCAGACGCCATTTTTCTTATTTTGCACGCTAATGGGGTACAGAGGAGTCGTGCGTATGAGTTAATGAGTTCACTGATTTCTTCAGGGAACAGATTATATTGTACTGCTCTAAAGAGTTTCGTGGCTATGATCTAGCCTTGTTCAATAGAACATTTAGCAGGTGTTAGAGAGAGCTGCTAAAAAGCATTACAGAGTAATAACACGCTCTGAAAGCGGATTCCGATCAAGGGCATTACTCTCACAATACTGAAGCTGTAAACTGAGTGCAACTGTTCTGGCAATGTGAAAGCTTTGAATTGTGTAACTTTTGTCCTTTTCTATAATCACAAAAACTGGAAAAATAACTTTTTTATTGTTGTATACTTCACTCTGTACACAATACACTGGGCCCCAAACTCTGAGCAACCTACTAAGAGATGATCCAGAAGGTTCCGTCTGATGTGTGGGTTTCCAGGAGGTCGCCACATTTGACCCACACTTCACTATTAAACCAGTGTTCATTCTCCTTCCTGATCATATCTCTTTGTAAATTTTATTGGATGTTTTTGGATAAAAAAATCCATTTTGTGGTTATATTTTGTTGGTTACTCTGTGAATGGGAGGAGTTACTTGTTTTAGTTTATAAATGGGAAAAAAATGCATGGTTCTTACTTTTTTACTCTTCTTTGTGCAAAGTAGCACTGAGAAGTGTGGCCATGTCCTTGCTGCTTGGAGTAATGTTGCTCGAGCATTTTACGACGGTCACGTGCACACTATACACATATTTTTCATACCTCTTTATTAAGTCACTTTTCTAAACTATGAACACGTTTCTGTAATTTATACAGGCATAAATCTACATCTGTCTGACATATTCTGTAGAAGGAAACACGCACACACTCACATATGCGCACACCTACAGAGACGAACATACAAGAGAGTGTTGAATGTGACCTAATTCACTGTGAATGCAAAAGTGATGTGGGCTCATTCATCAAATATAAATACATGATTATATAAAATATAGTTGCTATGAAACCAACTGAAGACATCTGTGTTTAACTTATATGAATGTATTGTCTTGCTATCAATGGATGTATCCGACCAATGCATTTTACTGTAAAGCAATAAACAAAGTCATATGGAAAAATTACTCTTCATTGTTTTAAGTATCTTCATTTATGTATAGTAAAATATGACATGTTCAGCTGAGCATTTTCATGCAGTATCATTTCATCGTTTGGTGGAACTTTCTTGGCAGTAGGTGGTGTAGTGGTTCACAGCCATGCACCTTCACGTGTGAGTAGTCTATGCGTCGTCGTGATGTTTGAGTTTCCTACTGCAGTACCTAAACATGTGACGCGATGTGGTTCATTTGGTTTTTCTCAAGCTGTCTATCGCGTGTACGCTTCTGGAACTGGGATAGCCCTTTTCAAATGTAGAATGTTTCAGCTAGTGAAAATAATGGTAAACTATGCAATTAATACGATGAATTAGATTCTAAAAGTTAAAGAACGGTCAGTGGCGCTCGTAATGCACTGTGACGAGCTTGTGGGTCTCAGTGGTTTGAATCACCGGATGTCCCGTCTTTGTAGTAAGCAGTCTGTGCACACTCTCACTCTCCTAACAGCAGCACAGACAGAGCAAGACGATTATTTCCATAACACTCGGGGTGAGACATTAACAAAACACAGGCACTTTACAGAGGGTTGAGACGCAGTACTACTCTAACTATTTACAACATGAATAACGCACTCACAGCACCTCTCTAGACATGCCGGGAACCTGCATAATTAACGAAGTGACCATCCCTGCCGTGTCACAATACTGTTAATCAATATCACTATCACAGAATGGCGGGGTGTTGGTTAGCTGAAGTGTAAGAATATCTGACAAAGCAAAGGTGAAGCAGTACTTTCTCATTAATTGCTTCATACCCCATTGTTATTTTTAGCTATTTTATAGGGATAAAGGTCCCGGGCTTCCCCATGTTTGTGCGATGGATAGACAGATTTCTGAGACTTTTTCCATTAGCCACCTGACTAAACTCAAAGACAGAGGAAAAAAATGATGTTTCCTTTACTGCAGAGTGAATAGCCAGCTCCCTCACTCCTGCATGTAAACACGTTAAGTGCTGCAGCCCAAGTCACACTCTGATAAGAGAGGAAACATCTGCTGTTTCTAACTTACTGCTTCAAAGGCTAAGTCCGCCCCAGTGTTCTGAGAAAGTGATTGGTTGAGCATTTTTTCTTATTTGTTTCTTATAACTGCTCTGTGGCACAAGTGGGTCTCAGGAAACACAATCCGGCAAAGGTGTAACAATTAATTTCACTGTAGGGGGTTTTTAAGTACTTAATTTAAATAATAGAATTATTTAGGTACTAGTGTGTTGGTTTCGTCTGCTAGGAACAGAAATCAAGCGGAGGAAGTGGGACAATAGTGAGACACAATGCTACATTGATGGTGGGTTGCGGGGGGGTCCGCATTTCTTTTGTTTAATGTCAGATGCATGGTGTGGAAGGGGGTGTGTGGCACATCTAAAACAGTGTGTGTGTGTGTGGGGGAATGTCATTTCTTCACTGTCACAACACTTTGGTATTGATTGGCTAAATAGATCTGAAAGTGAACATTAAAGGGGGATCGGAGCCTGGACTGGAGTTTACGTGGGCGGAGTGTGTGGGCGTGGGGTGACTTCCGCTAGTGGCCCCTCCATAACACCGCCACAGCCGACATAGACGGAGCAGATGCACACACATTCACTCACTCTGCTCGCTGCTCCCCGAGAGTGAAAGTGACCTGAGCGGAGTGGACACTGGCAGAGGGGAATACAGACAGTGTTTTGGGGTTGGCTGAGACCAGGAGGGTGGGGGGGGGGGGACAGAAGAGAACAGCGGGTGCTTCCAGTGAAACTCCAGGATGATTACAACGGCTCTCCTTCAGGATGCTGAACCATCTTCAGGGTATGGAAGTACTCTCTCTCTCTCTCTCTCTCTCTCTCATTATTTTTTTATTTAATCCAAACTTTTTCCAAGCTCTGTGTATAGCTACCTAAAAGAAAATGGTTATAGCCTTTTAAATTACATTGGACCTTATACATAATAGAATAGAATAGAATAGATATTTAGTTGCAAATTTTAAATTGCATTATTTTAAAATTCACTGTTTTACCAAATTACAATATACTAAATGTTGCTGAATTTCTGATTATTTCTATTCTTTTTCTAATATTTCTTCAGTAGCACATTTACTGTAACTTTTGATTGTTACCCGTCTCACTGTTTTTTTCCTTGCTATTTTTGAGTGGCATTGTTTCTATGAAGTACTGTAGCAGTACTCTCTGTTCAGTATCTAACTTCTGCTGTCTTTCTACATTGTTCTTCCTAGTCGCCTTTCGCCCACCGTTTCCGGAAGCTTCCCTGTGCTGTCCCAAGACTCCACCATACCTGGCATTCCTGCAGTGCCCGTGTCTTTCTCACCTACCGTTACCAGGGCCTCTTCACCCCTGGTCCTGGGGGGTCAGAGCCCATCGAGCTGCGGTCTTGGCTCGCCACCAGCCCCCATGCCTTCAGATATCAGCATTTTAGACAAACTGATCAAGACATGCCCCGTATGGCTCCAACTGGGCATCTCAGAGAGCAGAGCCACTCACATCCTGCAGGGAGAGACTCCAGGGGTAAGTGGGTCTCATGCCCAAATCAGACAGATTACACCCACAGTCAAAAATCTTCAGTCCCATAATGAAACTTTTGGTGATCAGCATTTATATGCGATGTCTTCTGCTTTTGATCACAGATATTTTTAGTCAGAAGAGACGTGCATAAGAAGAGGATGATCCTGTCAGTACGTCTTTTCAACCAGAAGAGCAGGCCACAAGTTCAGGACATGCCAATCAAAGAGGAGAACTTATGTGAGTGTGGCAGCACTGGACGCACCTTCCGTCTTGGGCTCGGTCAGATTAAATGAGACGATGGTGTGGTGAAGGGTAGAGAAGCAGATGATGTGACAGACCACATTCTGTGCTGGACAGAAAATGGAGCTCCATACCTGTGAGCTGGGCTGCTGTCTTTTTAGCCTATTTATAGTATTTGTGGTGATGTCACAGGAAATTCTCATGTTTCGTTCCCCGCCTGTGTAATTATACATGCATTCATTCACTTGATTCACTGTAAGTGCCCTGTAGTAAAAAAGCTTAGTTGCTCCCTTTTCAAAGCAAGATTATGACGATTGCAATGTATTCATAAATTATGAACACATCCATGGGGTTAGTTGAGTCACTTCAGCTACATCCCTGAAGGACATATTCTTGTCTTTTCTCTCCCATTTGTCACCTGTGCAGTAATGTATCTGGAAGGCTCCGTCCTGGTCTTTGACGATATTTTCAAACTCATCGCCTTCTACTGTGTCAGCCGGTATGACGTTCCCTAACAGGCTCAGAAAGCATGCTTCATAACTGTTTACACCAATGTCACCTTGAACTGGTGTCTATTCAATAAGCATCAGCAACACTGCCCTCTAGTGTCTGTAAGCAGCTATTTCAGGCTTCTGCTCCGTGTCGCTGTGCAAGTGAGACAGCTCGTGGGGAAGGGGGTGGGGGGGTGGGCAGGGGGTTGGCAAGCTGTGTTTCTGGAAGGGCTGGCCAGAGACCATCTGATTCCATTAAGTACAGCCTCGTTTGACCAAACTAAGCACCTGTTCAAAGCCTAGATCTGGGTGACACTTTAAGTATAACCGTAAAGCCTGACTGACTGTCTCGCTGCCCAGACCTTGGCCCTATTATACCTTACTATGAGTATAATATGCTACTATGAGTATATTACGCTACTATGAGTATAATACCCTGCTATGGGTATAATATCCCACTTTGAGTATTTACCTTTTAATCCATTTTACTTCTCATGTTTCTGGTGAAGTACTGAATAAAACAAGCTATTTTGGGGGAGAAAGTATATGTCTTGATTTTTTCATAACATCTTATGGATTGATTCCTTGCCGCTATTGGTTGGCTTTTTGTGTCTCTCTGCATGCACTCCTGCAAAGCTCGCTTTATGCCGTGTCAGTTGTCCATTATGTTACAGATTGCATCACAAAATTCTCTTTTTCCTCCGCTTCAGAGATATTCTTCCATTCAAACTGAGATTGCCAAATGTCATCGTCCAGGCAACGAAATATGAACACATGGAGATTATATCAAGCCTTGGTTCAGGTAATGGCGTGGGGGCGTTTATGGCCATGATAACCACTTAGATATGTTTATGGTTGATTAGCATCTGTAAAGGCAGAATTATCTTACTTTACTCTGGTAAGCCAAAGCAAAGATATTGTGCTAATGCGTAAATATAGTTATATATGTTTATATATAGTGACTATTATACACTCACCTAAAGGATTATTAGGAACACCTGTTCAATTTCTCATTAATGCAATTATCTAATCAACCAATCACATGGCAGTTG